AAGAAAGAAAGAAAGAAAGAAAGAAAGAAAGAAAGAAAGAAAGAAAGAAAGAAAGAAAGAAAGAAAGAAAGAAAGAAAGAAAGAAAAGAAAAGAAAAGAAAGAAAAGAAAGAAAATAAAAGAAAAGAAAAAAGAAAAGAAAAGGAAAGAAAGCAAAACGAGGGTGGAGGGGGGGAATTGGGGGGTAACCAATGGAGTGAAGGAGGCTTGGCTAACCTTAGCCTCCCATTTTCTCTCCCCCCAGTTCAGGGCTCTGACCAGTCAGTCGCCTTTGATTATCAGTTGCCAGCAGCCCTTCTCTTGGCTCCTTGACACGAGCTCCATATAAGGCAGCGATCTCCATAGAAACGTGTCAGTTTCAATAGTAGTGTCAAAGTTCACTATATACAGACATTCGCGCAGATCCCCCTTTCGGAAACATTGCTTTGCTAGGCTTCCAGTTTAAACGCATTCATTTTTTGGGTCTCTCTCTCTCTCCCTCTCTCTCCCTCTCTCCCCCTCTCTCCCTCTCTCCCTCTCTCCCCCCCTTCCCTTTCTTGCATATTCTATTAGTTGTGTGCCCCCCCTTCATCTCCCTCTTCTCCTTCCTTTTCTTCTTTTTTCCACCCTTCCTCCTTGTGTCTTTCGCTTCATTCCTGCAGGAGAAGAGGAGAGAGGTGAAACTGGAAAAAAAAAAAAAACCAAACTCGGAAAGAAAGACAGAAAAAAGGGGGAAAGGAGAGAGAGAGAAACAGGGGGGAGGGGGAAAGTCCGGGGAGAGAGAGAACGCGTTCACCGTTCATCTTAATACCGTTATTATTTTGACAATTCTTGCCTCTTTTTTTATTTTGGGGGAGGGCTTCTCTTCTGGGTGATGAGTTTTTACACGAAATACTTTTTTTAGGCAACTAAACAAACAAAAAAAAGAATATTTTTGGGGCGATTTCCACCGTTTTTCTTCCTTTTTTTTTTCCTCGCAACCAGTATCGTGCACTCTCACAAGAGAAGAACACCGAAAAGGCAAGAAAGAGGAGAAGAAGAGGATTTATTTACCGACCTACTTTGGATCTCTCTTTTTCCTGCAAGTGTCATTATTATTCCCGTTCTCTATTTTTACACTTCGCCGTGAATTCGTCTCCTCTGCGAATTTAGTCACATCCGATTTTTTTTTCTGCGATTAAAAAAAAAAAAAAAAAAAAAAAGGCGAGAGAGAGCGCGAGCGAGCGAGAGAGACAGAGAGCGAGAGAGAGCAGCTCGGGAGAGAAAGAGCAGCGACCGGCAACCTCCTCCTCCTCCTTCCCCGCCGCCGCGACAGGAGATCAAACTGCCTCAGCTCCCCGCCCG